TCTGCACCACGGAAGCCTCTCGACAGGCCGAGGCACAACGAGGCAGGTCTGGATACTGGGGGCTGCGAAGGAAGGCGGGGGGCATGGCAATGTTCCGCCGGCGCCCCAGGGGGGGCTGAAGAGGGGCGGGGGAGGCTGAAGAGGGGCGGGGGAGGCGGAAAGGGTCGTGTGGGAACGAAAATATTGCGACCAATCGACCTTTGCCTGCCCCCAGGCCACGCGAGAAATCCGAGTAAACCGCTTTCTGAGATCTGCAATTATGGCCAAGTTCTGCTCAGTGTGCTCCGCCCCGAAATTGGTCAACGTGTCACGATTCTTCTTCTGCTCTTCTTCAGCAGACATCCCGAGCGGGGCGGCGCCGCGCCCTGGGGAGGGCACGCGGGGCGGGTAAGGCAGCAGCGCGCCCTGGGGGGCGCCCGTGTGCGCGCGGCTGGCCGAACCACAGGATGTCACGAAGGGCATGTTGCATCTGTCCATGGACAACTGGCCGAGCCACATCACGTCAGGAAGAGCATCAATACAAGCACACATCAATCGATGCACACATGGAACGAAACTTGAACACGCGGACACACGTGGCTTGGAGAGCTGGACATTTGGATCCGAGCGTTGACGGGGAGGGAGGGAAAGCTGGGGAGGGGGGCGAAGCTGGGGAGGGGGGCCAAGACGGGGGATCAATACAAGCACACATCAATCAATGCACACATGCAACGAAATTCGACTAAATTGGACTAAATCGGACTAAATTGGACTAAATCGGACTAAATTGGACTAAATTGGACTAAATCGGACTAAATTGGACTAAATTGGACTAAATTGGACTAAATTGGACTAAAGTACACTAAATTACACTAAATTAGATTAAAATACACTAAATTACACTAAAATACACTAAATTAAACGATGAATTCGACCACATTTAACGATAGTCGACTAAAATCGAAGATGAATGTTCTCCTGCATTCACGCCACATGCGTTCCATTCGCGCAAAGCGGGCGGGCCAAAGTCGCTCGCCATTTTGCACCCGCGAGCGGCCATTCATCACGGAGGGAGCAGGTCGGGCGCCCACGTCCGAACGTCGCTCAGAGTTTGTGGCCGCAGCTCCACGTCCGCCAGGTCTCGGCGCAGGAGCCGCTGTTCCCTCGCAAACCTGCGCGGGCGGAGGGTGGATGGGGGACTTCCAGGAGCCCCCCCTCGCCGTTCCCTCGCCCCCATCCCCTCGGGCCCCCCAGTCCGACCGACTCCCCGGGGGCGTTTGCAATGCCGCCCACCAGGCGGCGCGGGCGGGGCACCGAGCGTGCCACCCCGCCCATTGCGACCGATATATCATGTACGCACGCAGCGCCAGGAAAGTTTGCACAGGGGGATCCGGGTCCACGATGCCTGGAACGGAGGATTCTGCACCGCGGGTAGGTATCCAGCGGAGCCGCCACCTCCGCTGCGCGGCCGTGTTGGTCTGCCGTGCTGGTATGCCGTGCTGGTCTGCCTTGCTGTTCTGCTGTGCTGGTCTGCCGTGCTGGCTTGTCGTGCTGGTATGCCGTGTTGGTCTGCCGTGCTGGTCCGTCGTGCTGGTCTGCCGTGCTGCGTCTGTCGTGCGCCCTGTGGCAAGGGGGCGCAGCGGAGGCGGCGGCGCCGCGGGGGCCCGACCCCTGGCACAGAAATTCCCCAGCCGAGGCGGCCGTCGTAGTCGATGAAACTGCATGTTTTGGAGGTCAGAGCGGAGCCTGCCTCGTGGGGCTTCGTCCACCGAGGCAACGTGATAATTTTTGCGTTGTCGAAATTCTCATTGTTGGTCAGCCGCCAGTACTTATTATTCCACACAGTCCAAGTGCCCGGCGGTGCTCGCAGAGGATGCGCGGGCAAGGCGTCGTCAGGGGCCTCGTCCTGCTCGACGTCTGGCTCTGGCAGCGGGTCCGGGGGGGGCTCGACGTGCACGGGCGCCTCCTCCTCAGAAGATTCGACGCCGGATTCCGCCTCGCTGACGAGGGAGTCGGAGTCGGAATCGCCTATATCGCTAGCTTCTCGGCGCGCAGCTTCTGCGCCACTGTACTGTCATCATCAGACCCTGCGCGGGGGCCTCCCCATTCTCCTCCTCCTCCTCCTCCTCCTCCTCCTCCCCCTCGTCCTCCTCCTCCTCCTCCTCCTCCTCCTCCCCCCCCCCTCCTCCTCCTCCTCCCCCCTCCACGGGGTCGGGAAAGCAAGACGCGGGCTCTTTGTCGCGCCGGGCACCAGATGCCGCCTCGGCCGCCTTCCGTTTGCGAGGGGCAGCCGGTCGGTCAAGATCCACATGCTCGTGGCGGAGTACTTTAACGACTAAACGAGAACCTCGGACCGAACACTCCACTGACAAGGAGTACACCTGAAGATCGCGGTCGGGGCACGACACGTTCGCTGCAGGGATGACATTGTCCCAGCACGTCTCTAAATCGAGGAACAAGGTCGTGTCCCCGAGGACGTCCAACTCAAGGGCTGCGACCCGCACGCCCACGCGGACAGCCAGGACGAAGGTCGTGGCCGCGTCTGGGCCACTCAGGGCGCAGAAACAACCTGGCACAGTGGGCGAAGGGGGGGAGGGGGAGGATGGGGGGGGCGAGGAGGAGGTGGAGGAGGAGGAGGAGGCAGAGGAAGAGCAGGGGAGGGGAGAAGGAGGAGGAGGAGGAGGAGGAGGAGGCATGAGCGCGCCTACGCCTGGTCGAACCGCCGCCGCCCATTTCGGCAGCTTCTGCGGCACGGGCGCCACCCGTTCCGCCTCGGGCAGGTCGAGGCGGGGGATGAGCTTCTGCCCGCACCTCTGGCGCCTCTCCCGCGTTGCTGTCGCCAGGAGCCCTTGCCACCACTCGGCCCTCTCCTCGATCAGGCGAATCCAATCGTTCGTGGAGACGGGGAACGTCGCGTCCGCCGCCCTGCTCTTCTTGGCGATGGATCGCAGCATCTCTGCCCGTTGCGCGTAGTCAGCCTGGCCGTCCCGCAGGAGCTCCGCGAAAGCCTGCGGGTCGCCCGCGTGCACGATCTGCCGCTGCTCATGCTTGGAAACGTCACCTTCCCAATGCAGCCTGCCCCGCGGGCGCTGCGCCAAGTCGGGCCGGTCCTGCCGCGCCAGCGCGGGCGCGTTCATTGTCAGCAGGCGGCCCTGTTGGCGTCTGGCCCGGTGGTCGTCGGCGAGCTTGCGCGCTCTCTCTGCTTGAAGCACTTGGAGTATAGAATTCCGAGACCCCCTGGCGACCGACGTAACTCGGTCCTTCTTGCACAGGCTTTTGTCCCTGCTGTGTTTGCGCTCGCCGTCTAGGGAAGTGGCCTCTGAGCACGCGAAGATCCGCTCCAATTCTCCCTGGATCTCGTCCGACATTAAGAATTCCAAGCGGGCAGCCAGATCGCCCGCTTCTTTGGCGCGCATCTGTAGGGGGACCGAGTACCCCATGTCGAGCTTGTCCACAGGCACCTCCAAGAAAGCTTCTGCGAATGGCGAGGCGTCGTCTCCGTTCCACTTCTTCGTCATGCGCCAAAGGCACCCAGGGTAGTTTTGGAACTCGGCGAAACGCTCCTCGATGTGCAGCTGCGTCGACACGAGAGATAGTAGTGCGACGTTGGCGTCGAGCTTCTCGTCGCCCTTCAGGGACGGCAGCAGCGATAGCAGCATGGCGCGCGTCTTGCGCTGGACCTCCTTGCGACCAAGGCGGACGAGAGTCGGAGCGGAGCGGTCCTCGCCAGCGTCCGAAATATCTTGGTCTTGGCCCTTTGGTTTCTGCGCCGTGATATTCACAGCGATCATTGTGACTCGAAGGCACACGCACGTCACTCGCAAGTGGGCGTCGTTCTCGGGGTTCTCCCACCACGATGTCACCCTGTCCAACCGCTTACTATTAGTTTTCTGAGGCTTTGTGCTCGTGGGCCGCAGGAACTTCACGTCCAGCCCTAATATTTTCATCTTAAGCAGGGTCCAGCACGCGGAAGCGAACAACCAGAACCTGCTCGTCGTCGGCTTCTCTTCGACGACCAGCAAGTCTTCGTAGAGCGCAGTGTACAGGAGGCCCTTTAACACCGGGTGCGGGGTAGCTGCGTCTGTGACGTGCGTCATCGACCCCATGCTGACGTTGAGGATCTTCCGGAGGCGCACCGGGAGCACGTCCTCCCCATACAAAAGGAACAATGGATAGTCTGGTCGGTCTTCCACTCGGAGCGGACTGCCTGGGACTATGGTCAATTTGGCAGCGATGTCCTTCAAGTTGATAGCTTGCTGGTCGACGTATTGTGGAATCAGGTATTTGAACACGCGGACACACGTGGCTTGGAGAGCTGGGCCATGCTTTCCCTGCGCCACGGCAAATTCGGTGCATAAGTTAGCCGTGTGGCTGCCGCACGTCCAAGCTACTAGCCTGTAGCGCAAGAGCTGTTTGTGCTTGTAACTCACGAGGAAATGAGCGAGCACGCGACGAAGTGATGCTGGATTGGTGTTCGTCCCGTCTCCCGTCACGAGGTGCACGAATGTCAACGGAGACGAGCGGGCCCCTATCGAAATTGTTTCCAAGAGCTCTTCCACCACGTCCACGATAGACGTGGCTATGGACACTGCCGTTTTCGATCTCAAGGGAACGAGCTCCGTAAACCAATGTTGTGAGAACTGCCCAAAATGAGCGTGCACGACGTGGTTCTGAATGGAGCACCCCCTTCGCACGAAACTGCGGAATCCACGGAGTCGCTGGCCCACCCAGAATGGTTTTTTTCTAGGTTTTCCCGGGGGCCCCTGCCATGCGCCCCCCCCGCCAAGAGGCGCCCCAGAAATAAAGAAGGGCGGGGAAAAACGGGGACCGCGACTCTCGCTGATTCGGTGTTTCCGCGAGCGCCTCGCCCTGGTGAGGATCCCCTTGCCCGCGGGCATTTGGATCCGAGCGTCCGACGTGACGGCCTTGTCGTGTGACCTCAATCGGAAATGAGCCTCGTCGTGCACGTGTGTGAGCACGAAAGGCGTACCAGGGCTGACGTCCTGAGCGACACCATACATCCTCCCATCACCTCATACTTTGCCCTTGTTCTCCCGATCTTTCAGGACAGACGCGGGCGTATAAGCTACTACATATACGTGTACATGTACATGTGCACGTGTGTATGCATGCGTATATGTGTGTTCCTCCTCCTCCTCCTCCGGACGATTGGCGGATCCAGGAAACGCAGCGTGGCCATCCGCTAGCCCAGAGCGTGTCAGGGGAAGAGCCTGAAGGGGGGCCAGCGGGTGGAGGCAGCTTTCCCTCCCTCCCCGTCGTGGGCCCCCTGCTCCTCCTCCTCGTTGTATCCCCCCCAACCTCTCCTGATTTCCTCCTCCTCCTGATCCCCTCCTCCTTCCGATCCCCTCCTCCTCCTGATCTCCTCCTCCTCCGGATCCCCTCCTCCTCCTGATTTCCTTCTCCTCCTCCCCCTGATCTCCTCCTCCCCCTGATCTCCTCCTCCTCCTGATCTCCTCCTCCTCCGGATCTCCTCCTCCTGATCTCCCCCTCCTCCTCCTCCTCCCTCATTTCCTCCTCCTCCTGATCCCCTCCTCCTCCTCCTCCTGATTTCCTCCTCCTCCTCCTGATCTCTCCCCCTCCTCCTCCTCCTCCTCCTGATCTCCTCCTCATCCCTCCTCATCTCCTCCTCCTCCCCATCTCCTCCCCCCCCTCCTCCTCCTGATCTCCTCCCCCCCTCCTCCTCCTGATATCCCCCTCCTCCTCCTGATCTCCTCCTCCTCCTGCTCTCCTCCTCCTCCTGATCTCCCCCTCCTCCTCCTGATCTATTCCTCCTCCTCATCTCCTCCTCCTCCCGATCTCCTCCTCCCCTCCTCCTCCTGATCTCTTTCTCCTCCTGATGTCCCCTTCCTCCTGATCACCCCCTCCTCCTTCCGATCTCCTCCTCCTCCTCCTCCTCCTCCTCCTCCTGATCCCCTCCTCCTCCTGATCTCCTCCTCCCCCTGATATCCCCCTCGTCCTCCTGATATCCTCCACCTCCTCCTCCTCCTGATTTCCTCCTCCTGATATCCCACTCCTCCTCCTCCTGATCTCCTCATTTCCTCCTCCTGATCTCCTCCTCCTCCTGATTTCCTCCCCTCCTTTGGGAAGCACAAAGACATACTAGTACTGTATGTCCTCCTTGGAGGCGCGCGTCCGACCCGAACATATAGTATACCCATCTTGTAGTATATCGTTTCCCGAGCGGTGTGGCCAGAAAGCGCCCGCCACGACGCATATACTATAAGATTTCTCGGTGCGCGCGTCGCCCCTGGGGGGGCGACGCACATATAGTATAAGTATGTTGGGGTGTTGCCGAGCTCCTGACTGTCTGACCCCTTTGCAAGAGAGGGAGGACGGGGGAGACGACGAGGCGATGCCGAGGTCCTCGGCGGCGCCCCACTTGGCGGCGAGGCTCTCTCTCCCGAGCTGTTTTATGACCTCCGCGCCGGCGTCCCGAGCAGCGCCCACCGTGGTCGCGCTGATATTTTTGGCCTTGCCCTCGACCACCCCCAGATTATTGAACATATCGGCTAGTTTGTCCATGGGCGGGGCGTCGGAAAAGCAAGGCATCGCCGCGTCTGGGCGGCGAGCGGCGGCAACGAGACGGCTGGAGCTTGACGCCCGAACGCGGCGCGGTCTCGTCTGTTCCGACCCCCCGATCGGGATTGACGGCGGAGACAGGAATGAGCGGACAAACCATGCGGTAGCGACGTGACCCCGCATCCTGGGGGAGAGCTGCAAAACTTCAGGCCTGCCTAATACACGAAAACGAAAGGGGCGGGGAGTGGCGGGAGCAGAGACGGGAACTGGGTCTTTACGTGAGCATGGAGCAAACGGGTATTGAGGGAAACGGGCCCTGGACCCCATAACGGGCCCCCCAGGGCCAGCTTCCTGTCCTGGATCGTTTTCGACGGCCCCAGGGCCCCCAGAGACCGTGGAGCCCGAAAGCGGTTTGAAAAAAACTCTGAGACCCGTGCCCTCCCAGCCCCATTTGATTCAACGCGCCAGCAGTCCTCTCCTCTCTCCCCTGTATCTGCTGTCGCTGGACCGTTGTCTGTGTCTTCAAGTGTCGCACGCTCCTCGCCAGCTGTTCCCTGGTGCGCATCCTGGCCAGGACTGGGGCGCCACGAATCCCTGGCCGGCGTCCTCTCGTTTCCAACGCCAGGTCGAATTCGGCAGCAAGCGCGTCCAGCAACTCTGCCGCCGCCGCTTGGGTCCGAGGGGCCGCCGGCCCCCGACGGGGCAGAAACGAGGGGCCAGACACTAGCGACGTCGTGTTTTTTTCACAACGGCAGCCCCCGGAGGCCCGGAGACCTTCCTGGGGACCGTTTTTCATTCTGATTCGTTTTTTACGGCCCCAGGGCCCCACCGTAGGCCCCCGAAAACCGAAAACAGCCAAAAAAATCCGCCCTGATTTTTTTAAAACGCGAACATGTCTGGGTCTGCCCCTGCCGTTTGAATACCCTGCCCATCACCCTCCCCCATCCCTCTCGTCCACCCCGTCCTCCCCTTGCCCGCCCGCACCGTGGAGAGGGCCCAGGAAACGCCGACGACCCCCCCTCCGACGCCGACCATGCTATGGCGGAGATCTCAACATGAGGCCGTGGATAGCGCGCGCCTGTCTCGAACAAATCCCGGCCTAGCTCCGACACGATCTTGTGGGCGGCAGCTGCCCGCGGGAACATCGCCCGCAGCGGCCGGCCAAGAGCGGGGCGGGAGAGGGAGGTTGGGAGGAGGAAAACAATACAGATCCAGCTCTCTTGGCCCTCCTCTTCCCCCCCTCCTCTTCGAGCGGGGGCGAGGGAGGAGGGGGGGGAAGAAGGAGGAGGGCCAAGAAAGCTGGATCTGCATGGTTTCCTCCTCCCAGAGGCGGGCCCAGCAAAATTGTTCCTGATGTCCGGCGGCGGGCGGCGCGCAATCCGGATTGACGCCGACGGAAACAATGTGTGGATGCCACGAGAGAAGCTGAGGAGCGGAGGGGGGCCAAGAAATACCCGCCGACCCGAAAGCCTTTGCGATCGGATCACCGAGCCGTGAAGCACCCTCCGACCCAAGCCCAGGCGCGGTCGAATCACACGGCGCGTGATGCCCGCCGGCCCGAACGCTACCCCGATCGGGCCACCATACTTTAAGACGCCCGATGTCCGCCAGCCCGACTCGAGCCTCGTGGCGCGTGAGACATCCGCCGATCCGATCGCTTCTGCGATCAGACCACCATGCCGTGAGACAGCGAGGACTGGCCTGAGGAGGCGGGACTGGGGCGGGGGAAAGAAAAGTTAAACCTGACTCGATATCATATCGGACTAAATCAACACCAGGGACACCCACGGGTGAAACGAGAGGCTCCCATCATTTGGGACAGAACAGCAAGGTCTGGACCCTCTCGGGGTTGCCCTCTTCGCAGGCCCGCCACAGCTCGGCGCTGAGGAAGGCAAAATGCGTCAACAACTCGTGCGTCGACGGCTGAGCCCCGAGGGGGCTGTGCTCGCGAAAGTACTGATGCATGGCCATGGGGGTCACGGCGCTGACTTCCACGCCCAGAACGCGGGCCAAATTCTCCTTCATCAGTCCTCGCACGTCGGGGCCGTGCTGCATCAGCACTTGTTGCCACTCGCGCCTCCGAGCGATTCCCCCCATCTGAGCCGATGCGTGCGCGGGGTCGCCTGAGGTCGCGGGCGGAGATTGAGCTTGGTCGCTCAGGGTCCCCAGAAGCGGGTGGAAGGCTGGGCGATGGCCCCGCCCCTGCTGCAATGAAAGGGACTGGTGCAGGCACTGAAGCATGAGGCTGAAGTCCGTCGGATTGGCCGCAAGGGGCGGCTCGAACCCGTCGGCGCCGCCCGCCTCGGCAAAGCCGTCGACCGCAGCGGGATGGGCTAGCCCAGGCGGCGGCGGGGGGCCCATCGGTCCGAAAGCGGACGAAGGGGCCCGAGGGACAGCAAGAGAGCGCGCCTTCTCCCACGCCGAGACCAGCGCGGAGGTGGGCCCCTTGGGGCGCGCGGAGACCCGCTGTGGGGCCACGGGCGCGTGGGACAAGACGGCCTCGATCCCCGCAGGATCCAGCCCGAGGCGCGCCGCCTCGTCGCTGAAAAGCTGAGGCACCTCGGGCCGAGCGCTCCGGGCAGCCGGAGCGGGGCCCAGCGGTTCGGGTCCGCCGACCATCGTGGAGGCCGCGTGGGCTGCAAGCAAGGCGCGCATTTCGGCAGCTACCTCGGCGCGGGTCATGGGAGCCCCGTCGTCCAGAGACGCCGCAGGAGCACCAGGAGCAATCGGAGCAGGACCCGCGACCCGTGGCGGCGCGGCGGCGCCAGCGCGCTTGGCGGGCGGGCCGCGCGGCGCTCCAGCGACCGCGGGGGCTCGCGCACTTGGGGCCGCGCGGTCGGCTTCCCCGTCGGCCGCGAACCCCTCGGGCTCCTCCATCTCGTCGGCAGAGTGATAGGGGGTAGCCCGATCGGCCCCTGGGAGAGGCTCTTCCCCTGCGGTAGGCGGGGCGCCGTGCAAACGAGCGTAGCCCTCGCGAAGCACCCGAACCCCCGAAGGATGCGGCCAATAGACGCGGCTGCGCACCTCGGCGAAGGGAACGATGCCTGCGTCGTCGCCGACCTCTAGAGGGTACAGCGACTCGAGCTCGAGCTCGGCAACCTCGATATCTATAACGAGGACGGATGCGGTAGTGGCGAGCGGCCGTGAAGCGGCCCCCTGGAGCTGGACGTCCACTAGCTGGAAGGGGCCTATCATCCCAGCAAAGCCATCCGCCTCGGCAGCCTCGAGCTCCGCTGTAGAGCGAAAGGCACCAGGCAGGGCCAGCAGGATGCCCCCTTCTCGAGAGGCGAGGGGGATAGCCGCCCAGCTGGTGTCGCCGTCGTCTAGGCGCCATCGTGCGTAGTCGCGCGCCGTGGGCGCAGCGAAAGGGTAGAGCTCGGGCCAAAGGGGCCCTCCGCCAACTGGTGGCAGCTCCGCCATCAATGGGCGCCGCCGTGGAAGCCGCCGCCCGCACGCTGGGCGTCTGCCCGCTCGAGCGCTT